AACATGGAAAAAGAAGAACACGCCCCTCGTCTTCTTCAGCGACATCAGACAGTGTACGTGCCTGCGCATGCAGGCACATTCGGTCACGCCGCCATCACGATCGCAGAGTAAAGCTACTCGTTGTGCTTACCGTAAGCGACTCCTGATTACTCAGCACTTAACATTGGCGACGAAGGCGGACCAGAACCGCAAAAGGGAAGACTTGCATCGTTTGAACGATGTCAGCGCTGCAAGGCAAGGTCGAAGAGTTCGACGGTACTGCGTGGTCGGCCTGGGCGGAGCGCTTGGACTTCTACTTCCAGGCGAACGATGTGCAAGACGCCGGAAAGAAGAGGGCGCTACTGCTGACTTTATGCGGCGCAGAGACCTACAACACAGTTCGAGCGCTAGTTGCACCCCACAAGCCAGGAGAAGTTTCTTTCAACGAAATTATGTCCTTGCTAGGGGACCATTACGATCCAAGACCATCCGAACTCTTCTGTCGAAGCAAATTTCAGAGGCGTGATCAACATCCAGGGGAGTCAATTGCTTGCTACGTGGCAGCACTTAAGAAATTGGCAACTGACTGTAACTTTGGCTTGTTGACGACAGCTACATCGCCAACGACGACAGCGGGTTCGTCGAGTGCCGGCGGCACAGCGTCAGCGGGGTCGTCGAGCTCCGGAGGTATATTGGCTTCCAATCCAACGATGCTGCCGCTGGACGTGATGCTTCGGGACCGCTTCGTCTGCGGAGTTCAAGATGAGCGTATTCAACAACGTCTTTTTGCAGAACAAAAACTCACATTCAAGCAAGCTTACGATATTGCCATCAGACTTGAGAGTGCAGTGCAACAACAACAGGAGCTGAAACTCCCCAAACCAGACCTCAACAAAATGTGTAGAACTACGAACCGGGCAGCCACCACTTCCAGTGGTCAGCCGGAGACGCCGTGTTACCGCTGCAATGAGCAACACAGCGCACAAACCTGTCGATTTCGCAAAACATCGTGCCGATTTTGCAGAAAGACGGGTCACATTGAGAAGGCTTGCCGAATGAAGGCTCGATCCGGAGCTGCACAACGCTCGACCAACCTGGTGAGCGATGACCAAAACGAGACTGATCAGTCAGTAAGTGATTTTGACATGCAGGAACTTAACGCTGTTCGTGCCAGCGTCGTGGTTCCCAAGTACCTCATAACGCTTAAAGTAGAAGGAAGAGCACTAGAATTTGAAGTTGACTCTGGTGCAGCAGTCACGGTCATCAGTCAAGAGACCTACAGGCGAACATGGCCAAACAAGCCACCTCCGTTACAGAAAGAGGATATGACGCTGCAGACGTGGACCGGTGAAGGACTCCGAGTTCTCGGTTCAGCGCAGGTACACGTAAAGCATAAGTCTAAGGACTATATCCTGCCACTCCTAGTCACAACCGGAACAGGATGCAACCTGATGGGACGCAACTGGTTTTCAGCACTGCAGATTCGACTCAGTGGTATTCACCACATTGAGCAAGACCGTACTATCACAACGGTGCTCAGCGCGCACAGTGAGGTCTTCAAGCCTGAGATCACAGGGTACATCGGACCAACGGTACACTTGGAGATGAAAGAAACAGCAACACCCAAGTTCCTTAAAGCCCGACAAGTACCATTTGCACTACGGCCAGTAGTTGAATGCGAATTGCTAGCATTGCAGAAGCAAGGCATTATAGAGCCGGTTCAACACTCCGCGTGGGCAACGCCTGTCGTGGTTGTCAGGAAGAAAGATGGATCCGTGAGGCTCTGCGGGGATTACCGCAGTACCGTGAACGACGCAGCAAAGCCGGCATCCTACCCGCTCCCGACACCGACGGAGGCTCTATCAAACCTTCAAGGAGGAACTGTCTTTTCGACCCTTGATCTCGCGCAAGCGTATCAGCAGCTGCGAGTAACGGATACGACCGCCGAAATACTGACGATCAACACGATCAAGGGGCTCTACAGAGTGAAGCGACTACCTTTCGGAATCGCGGCCGCTCCGGCGATATTTCAACGAGTCATGGAAACCACACTCGCGGCCATTCCGGGAGTTAGCGTTTACCTTGACGATATAATCATCAGCGGAACAACTCCAAGTGAGCACGCGCGTCGGCTGGATGAGGTACTCTCACGACTGGAAAAGGCAGGGCTGAAGCTCAAGCAAAGCAAGTGCTTCTTCGGCGTGAAGGAGGTCAAATTCTTAGGTCACCGCATAAACGCCGAAGGAATTCATCCAACCCAGGACAAGATCCAAGCAGTAGTCGAAGCCCCGGAACCAGAGAACAAGACGCAGTTACAGTCCTTTTTAGGCCTCCTGGCGTTTTACGACAGGTTTTTAAAGGATCGCGCGACAATCGCGAAGGAACTGTACGAACTACTTGAACAGAACAAAGAGTGGAGGTGGGAAGAAACACACCGAAAGGCTTTCAAAAAGCTGAAAGATCTAGTGGCCAACTACACTGTGCTCGCACACTATGATGGAAAACGACCTCTAGTGTTGTCTTGCGACGCCTCACCATATGGAGTGGGAGCCGTACTTGCACAGCAAGATGCTGATGGGCGGGAGGCTCCGATCGCTTTTGCATCCAGAACGCTAGGCAGTGCCGAGCGGAACTATTCGCAACTGGATCGTGAAGGCCTCGCTATCGTGTACGGAGTTCACCACTTCCATCAATACATAGCTGGGAGGTCCGTGACCATATTCACAGACCATCAGCCTTTGCTAGGTATCATCGGCTCCAACAAGCCTGTTCCACAAGTATTATCACCAAGGATGACTAGATGGTGCGTGAAACTGGCAGCCTACCACTACGACCTGAAATACAGGCCAGGAAATCGTCACCAGAACGCAGACGCTCTCAGTCGGCTTCCGTTACCACACACAGAAGACGAATTGAATCCACCTGGCGACATCTTGATGTTTGAAGGATTGTCACGGCCTCCTCTGTCAGCGCAACAGGTAGCAGAAGCGACAGCAAAGGACACTGTGCTGGTTGAAGTGTTAGAAGCAATTCAAAAGGGCACTCTTCATCGACTCAAATCACCAGAGTTCGCACCTTACACAAAAAAGGCGGCAGAACTGTCGACACACCGAAATTGTGTGACATGGGGGGCACGCATTGTGATCCCCACGCGGCTGAGGACGGACGCGTTGACGTTGATTCACGCGGGGCACCGTGGAATTATAGCAATGAAGACATGCGCACGGAGCTACCTCTGGTGGCCCGGTATCGACGCAGACATAGAGTCATTCGTCGCCCCGGAAACTTTTTTAGCTTGTGAAAAAACGGTTTCGCCTCAAGCACTACCGCCCCCCAGGCGCACTATAGAAGGCAACTGAGCGGCGAAGAACTCTTCCGCATCTCAAAAAAAAAAAAAAAAAAAAAAAAAAAAAAAAAAGGTGACAAGAACTTCTTATAGGTTTTTTCACGAAGAGCCCTTTTAGGGGCTGCTCAAGAGAACTTTTTAGGGTGCAAAATATGGACAAGCCGAAGAACCCCTAAAAAAATCCTTTACAATTTTTTTTTTTTTTTATGAGCGTAGAAAGAAAGTTTGGGCGCGACAAAAAGAGCGGACATATCCACGTCTAAGATTTAGAGACGAGTATCTAAATGGTAGGATCGAGTAGATCGCGTCGGGTATAGACGGAGAAGCGGCCCTGAAAACCGTTATTCTGCCCTCAGACGCCCAGCAGACCTTGACACACAAGTCTACATTTTAAAAGGAACGAACGCCACGCCTCTCCCGTTCGCTTTCCTTTCCAAACCCTCACAAAAATTATCAACAAGTTTCAATTGAGGTTCTAATGTATTCTTATAGAATACATTAGAAACTCAATTGAAACTTGATATTTTTTTTTTGTAAAGGAAGAAAGCGAATATGCATTTAAATAATATAATCCTAACAGCCACGTGGAAGCTTCTAGAGAGTGATCAGCCCGATGTAGATAAGCTGATAGATCACTTCACTGCTATGAAATGTCCCTGGCTTCATCTCACCCTTGGCAAATAAAATGTTATCGCTTCAATTATAACATTTCGTGTCCCTATGTCTGTCTGTCTGTCTGTCTGTCTCACTCACTCTCTCTATCATACACACACACACGCACACTATATTGCCTATGATACTATGACAAAATTGTGTAATATAATTCTGCCATTTTGTTGTGCATCATTACCAAGGCGTCAAGCTGTTCATGAGCACAAAAAATAAACAAATGAATGAATGAATGAAGGAATGAACAGTTTAAAAACAAAAAGTCGAAACAAACATGTATGTCGGAGGTGTACGAAGGCGGTGTTTAAACATAAGTTAAAGCACGATGAGCCGTAATACTCATCTAAAATACCCCCCCACCCTCACCCTCCCCCCCCCCCCCCCAAAAAAAAAAAAAAATTTATATATATATATATATTACAAATTTACGCACTACGCTTATAATATATTCACTAATCAAGTTTCTAAACATATTTTTTTTTTTGTAAATATGCCGTGCGTTGAAACAAAAACATACAATATTATAAACCCAAAATTACAATGACACAACTCACTTTACCGTGAGAAAACTGGAAAACATCGTAAGATATAGGCAATCGACAAACCGCAGAGTTTCAACAAAGCACACACGAAATACCGAGGAAGCCAGAAGAAAATAGTAAAGTATATCTTAGAAAAAAAAGATAAAAAAAAAGGGGGGGGGGTGGAAACAGGAACACCACGTTATTTGAGGGAGCACGAACGTTCAAAACATACAGGAAAGAGGACTCAAAATAAGATCTTTTAGCTATAGGTTGGAACCCGAAAGAAAACTACACTTCATCGAACTCTACGTGACAAAATGGAACAATTAAAAAAAAAAGATATATATATATATATATATATATATATATATATATATATATATATATATATATATATATATATAACGGGTTTAAAGGCGACTGAAGGAGAGCAGCTGAAAATCGGGTTAAACGCGGGATGAGTCGCAGGTCCGCGGACGCACCTGACTTGAACAGCTGCAGGAAGGACGGCCGAGTCGGCGCCGTGCCGGCGTACAATGCACACCGCGTGGAGCGTGGCGCGTCTCGGAGTTCATCCGGCGTTGCGATCTCTCTCCTTTCCTCGACGCCGACGGAATGAGCCAATGAACGGGACCGAACATGTGCCGCCGAGGAAGCCCGCTGAATCGAAGTGTCGCGCCAGACCGTATCAAACTACACACGCACTCTCTCTATTTCACGAGAAACGCCGTTCTTTCGCCATCAATCGCCAGCCGTTCTCTCTCTCTCTCTCGCTCGCTCTCTTACAACCTCCCCCCATCGTTTTTATGTCTTTGTGGTTTAGGTTTCGTATAAATATGTGGTGGAGAGAGAGAGGCATTCAGGCGAGTATAGATGTAGGGAAAGAGCGACAGCAAACCGCAGTGATTACAGTCGTCGGAAGAAGAAAAAGTGACAAGTACAAAAAAGCACAGAGAGGCGAGAGAGCGAGGGAGGTACAGACTAGTGAGAAAGATAGGCGTGGAAATTGGCGAGTGAACAAAAAAGAAAAAAACGAAAGAAACAGGCCATAAACGATAAGAATTCTCAGCAAGAAGCCGTGATGAAACACCCCAACGACGACCTCGAGCCCCGTCTCCAACGTAAAGCTTCCGAGGATATATAACAAGTCCGAATTAAGAAGCAGAAAGAAAAAAAAAAATAATTCGAAACACTAAATGACACGAAAGACGTAGATGTCCACGTGCCAACGGCGTGCTCAAAAGTTGTGAGAGGTAAAAAAAAAAAAGAAAAAAAGAACAAGACATATCGCAACTTGAGAAGCTTCGCATTTCATTAAGCAACGTATTGTCTCTTCTCAACCTTGTACGCCGCTGGGTTTAGGATGGGGAAGGGGGAAGGCGGGAGCCTCGGGCCAGGTTGGCTGTAATTAAAATGCCGATAGCCAGATGCCCAGCCCCAGGCGAAAACTGCGAAAGTTTGTACTGCCCGGTGCCGCTCCTTCTATACATCATCCGTTGGCCCTACGCACACCGTGGCCTCTACGTCACAGCTGCGGCAACCTTGGCTCCCGGTGATGGGTGAACGTTCGCGGCAGGAATTGGGCTGCTCTTAGTTGTCCAGCGCGTGACGCTAATCCCGCGTGCATTGTCGAGGAAGAAGCGTCATGCCATGTGGTGTCGACGATAACGCGTTTTCCAACCCCGAGAGTCCCGCGGCAAATGAAAACTCACGGCCTCCGACAATTACACGCTAAAACAAGGAACTTTCTTTTTTTTTTTTCTTCACTTTTTTACGATTGCACACGATTACCAACGTACACTGCACCGAGACACGGAGCGATTCTCGGTGCTCTAGAGAACGCTCAGACGCCATCAACAACGCAGCATTTTATCCCAAAACGATGAGCTGTGCGCCCACCACGCACGCCCTAACGCAAAACTCTCACCACCTGTGCGAGCTCCTCAAACAGTCAGTGCCTTGATAAGTTGTGTGCATTATCCATGCGCTGCGTGAACTAGTTCTTACAATATTTAATTGTCAAAAAAAAGTTTTTTTTTTTTTTGTTTTTTGAAACATGCATCTCTTGATAAAATACGCGTAGCATAAAGCTAATCTAAAATCTAATGCTATATCCGGCCAGTCGATTTGCAGCCTTTTGGAGCGCCCTGAAAAGGTGATGCCCATTCGGCTGGTCGAAGTCAGGCGCTCTAAGTACATTCGGCGAGCTCTTTCAGAGCGCTCTCAGACTTTCGGATCGCGCCGTCCTCTGACTCGTAAGTAGCACTGTGAGGCGCTCCGACTTCGAAGTGGGAGCGCGTGCCAGAGGACCGGACGCCGCCGCGTTTAGGTACCGCATTGATCCCGCTGTGCTGAGCAGTGGGTGCAGGAGTTTCGAAGACGCTCCCGGATCTCGCAGATCCGATTAAGAGGATTGGAGCACTCGAAAACGACCAGCCGAATACACCAAAAGATGAAGCCACGCATACACATGTAATAATTTGACACTCGAAGGCGAAATCGGTAATGTTCCCCGATGAACCGGACTTTTTAGCGTGAGACGTTCTTTGGCTATATATAGGTGTTCGGCATTCCGTGAAGCCCAGATAAAAGCGTGGCCGCGAGGCTCGACACTGATTGGTTGACGGGTGGGGAGGAGTTGTGAGGTGCTCGACGCTGATGGGTTAGCGGGGAGATCATGTGACCTGAGGGGTAGGCGAAGAGGAGCTCAACCACCTGTGCACCTGTGCGCACTGACGAAGAGGGGCTCGAGAGTATTGAAGGCCCTGGAAGATCGCCAGGTTTATCAGCCCGATTAGCGGTAGTATCACTTCCTTCTATAGAACAACTATGAAATGTGCCCATAGTACGCGTTAAACTACCTGACGAAGAGAGTCGTAAACGTAGGCGTCTGAAAACTTTTCGCTAAACGTTTGTGATGAGAACGTTTCATGCACGCAACACAATTGCCTAACAATCCGCCTTCTTTTTTTAACAATAGTTTTTATACATTAGCTACGAATCCCGGACAAGCGATGTTCGAACCGAAGTCCTCATCCCCATCAAGGCCGCGTGTTCGGGCCATGCAGCACACTCCACCAAAAGGGTAACCAACGGCAGACATTGCGACTGCCTTTCGCTTTCGCGCGCGTCAGCAACGCGGCGAACGAATATCGCGCCATCTCCGCTTTGCGCGTAACCTCAATAACCCGCCGCAACGTCCAAGTGCAAAAAAAGAAAGCGTCTGCGCCGAACTCGCTTACACGCAGGCAATGCACAAATTAAATCTGGTGTTTTACTTTCTTCCTACTCTTATTATCAAACTTTTTTTTTTATTTTTTCCATGCTTCAACTGCTGCGTCTGTATACCCTCGTTCGTACCCACATATATATGTATATTTAACGAAAACTTTCACCGACAATTCATCCCGAGCTAGTCAAGCTCCAGGAGCGTCCCACGTGATCTTGCTCCCCGCGTATCGTTGTAGTCCATCTGAGATCGCGTGACTGAAAAAGTCCACGGATTGCTTTTCTTTCGAGAGATGGTACCTAAGCCCTGCACCCTGTACAGCATTAAAAAAAAAAAAAAAAAGCTTTTGGACGGTGTCCTTTGAGCGTTCCTGTGTATATCGCGCGCGCTTTGCTCGCTTTCCGTAACTCGAGCGTGCTGGGATGTGGACACCACACGCTAAGCTGTGGGCCGGTTAACATTGGAAAGGTGCATAGAAACTGGCAGGTCTTTCGAAGTCAGGCCGGGGCAAAGCCCGACCCGAAATAATTTCGCACCGGCGCCAATTGTACACCACAGCACCGTAGTCACTAACAGGATTAGAACCGGAGGGAGAACCTTCCGTTATCCTGCCCCCAGCGCGAAACTTCCATCCCTCGACAACACTTCGTCGTCTCGTGATCCCAGAGCGCACACGCGCATCCGAAGCACCGTGGAAGGCAGCGAACGCGTGCTGGAAGCACCCGAAAGAGATGCCCCGTCTTTGACATCCTCTTAGTCACTACTATACAAACGATCAGGAGAGTTAGAACATATTGCTATAGCTAGGCGAAGGACCCATCCTAAGACTGACCACACCCTACAATTTAAAAGTAGTCGGTGCCGGCCAATGTTCAGGCCAATACAGGACGAGGCAAGGCTGGACAAAGGCACGAAGCAACGTGAGCGCAAGCAAGAGCCTAGGAGAAATCGCACAAACAGAGAAGAGAAGCAAGCAGCCACGTCCCATTGCTCCAGCCCTGTCGCAGTCGTCGAGCATGGAGCGCAGGTAATAAAGAATTCCTGTATTTCGCACGCCATGCACAATGCTACACACAATAAAGGCACTCACATAGCATCAGGCTAGATATGCTCTCTCCTCGAACACTTCCTGGGCACGCTCCCAACGTTTGCACACTAACATATAGTACAATGATAATACAAAAAACGGAGAATACATAAGGCAGCTGTAATACAATTGGAACATCGGCCGGCACCGTTAATAAACGCTCACACTCGTACATCAGCATGCCTCGTCGTGGGAAACGCAGTACTAGCAGCAGCTGAATAAAACTCAAACCGTCGACAAGGAATTGAGCGCACTCGGATGCCGTCGGTGCACAGACGCGTTAGAAGCCTTGTCCTGACGATAAGGGGAACCGGTGAACCACTTGAGAGAGAGGCCGACTCGATCTGTTGCTCCGACGATAGTTTCGAAGCTCGCTATTCCAAGCAGTTTTCAATTAACTCGGTTCGTCTGTTACCACACACACACACACACACACGAGAAAAAAAAAAGGGGGGGGGTGTACCTGTACCCCTCTACAACGAGATGCTTGCGGTATGTGAAGAACCGCTGTTACAGAAATATTTCGGACTTTTGAAACGAGTTTCGTCGGTTCTGGCAATCAGAGCATCGCGTGCATAGTAAGAAATTACACCTTGAGGCGTACACAGTTGTCCCGGAGACAAAAGATACATCAAATTAAACTGTCTGAAAAAAAAAAAAAAAAAAAAAAAGTAATCGGATCAAGCAATTTCTCGCTAACATGCTGCGAAAGATTTACGACTCTAAACAGACCTTGAAGATAACTTTTTCTTTCGTATTTCATTTCCAACCGTGAATTTCTAGGAATCGCTCGCCAGAGACTTCGAGAGTATATAGAGGCTCCGTAATTTCCCCGGAGTTCAATTTTTTCCCTGCGCGTGCTGGGTGGGCAGTTGCAAGCTCAATCTCGTCCCGCTATCGGTCGAACGGTAAATAGGGGCAATACAACGGGGGCAATCCTCTAACCCCCCCAAACTCGCCGCGAGACACCTAACAGCGCGCGTGCAATAAGGCACCGACCTTTTTCTTTGCTTTCTCGTTTCTTTTTTCACATGTCCTTGATCGCCGCGCGCAATCGAGTCGGCCGAAGGTGACAAGCGCGTCCACTCACCCGGCGACACGAGTCCAAAGTGGAGACGTCGGGACAGAGGGAGCGCGCTAACCAAACTTAATCTAATCGAAGCCGGGAGCCAAACTATCAGCCCTTCCGGCCTATACGGCCTACAGGTCTCTCGATCACGCCACCGGAGACCGCGATTTCCCGCCAATGTCATCATAGTTCGCCGACGCGGGGCGGTGCCCGTTATCCCATAGTGAGATTAGACTGGGTTCCCGTGTGCCGAGCGGTCATCGAGGCTTTCCGCTCGGCGACCAACCGCGGCGAGCGCAGGCAGACAAATGACCGGAAACGAGCGGAGCGCCACCGCTGCCACGCGCCCAGCACGCGCCTTCTCCAGTTCCACGCGTGCAACAGAGCCGTGGAGGTCGCGGGCAACCGGCCAATCGAAAGCACGGACAGAACAGAGTCCAACGAACGGGACTCCATAATCGCGCAAATACTTGATTCGTCTCCAAAAATTTGCTTATCTTGTCTCGTCTCGACAGCTTCGAGCATTCATGAGGTCGAGACAGCGCCA